CAAGAGTTGCTCTTGTGTTGTAAGTACCTCCAGGCAAAATAACATCAGATAGTGTAGTAGTTAATTAGTTGACAACACATAGTGGTTAACCAATTGTGCAGGCTTGCAGAAATGGGTGTTCTGAGGAAGGGGGAAAGAAAATGTGAGGTGGTGGTTAGCTGTTTGACAAGGGAGGAGATTGCATGGTCTGTAGAGTGAAAATGCTGTAATTTCAATCAGTAAAGAAAATAACAGACATTGTTCATGAAGACACACATCAAAAGAAAATACAGAATGGTGAATTTATTTAACAAAGCCTCTGCAGGTATTTTTGAATATTTGCATAAAAAAGCCACTGTCATCATGAACTTTTGCCTTTTTTAAGCATATAAGATGCTTTGCCCATATTTTCTTATAAAGTTGGCCTTCAAAGGGCTGCAGCTGCATTTTGCATGAAAATGCCAAGAACCAATGGGCAAGTCTTGGCATGTCCAGCCAATAGGTCTTTCTCTTTAGAAATTTGCAGGTAAGGTAAAAATGCAGATTGGGTGGACTTTTTTTTAAAGTAGGCTTTCTCTGCCAATTGTTGCTTTGTACATATTAGCAAAAGAAAATTTTGGCTGCTACTAGACATGGAAAGCAGGAAATAATATAAAGGTGTTTATTTAATCAAGTGGCAAGCTGATTATAATAATAGCACAAGCCTTATTTAATTCAAATTGAATTGAATGCTTTTACTTGTAGCAATTATTAAGGCCAGTTGTTATTGCATAGTATGATATGTTAATATACAAGCTATAATTTAAAGTAAATAGCTTTGATATGTGCCAAAATACTGGAGCTAAAGTATTTGGGGGGTACTAAAGCCCTTTTGGCATGAAATTTAGTTTGTTTATCAGTATATATGTGCTCCTGACAATTTAAAATCATGGAATATGAGTTTAATTAGCCTATTACATATAACATCTATATACATGTTGATAATGTTGAACAATGTATGTTCTATAAATTGGTTTAACATCTGTTCAAGGTGCTAATTTAAATGGATATAGCTTACAAATTGCGTAAAAAAACATCTAAAAGTTGAGACTTGTAAACTAAAAATACATCTGGCAGCGACATAAAACAAAAAAATGATTCGCCCATCACGCACGCAAATAAACAAAAGGCAAAACGTCAGCTACAGTATTTGAACCTGTGCGGGGAGACCCCAATAGATTTCTAGTCTATCGCCTTAGACCACTCGGCCAAACTGACAAGTCTTCTCCACTCCGGCCTGAAAAATAGGGTCCTCGCACTCTTCCGATAGAGTACAATAATTCGAAAAATCGAATCCATCGCGCGCATCCATCGCGCATCCATCCCCCCGCGATGCCCCCCGCCGCCGCCCCCGGCCCGGGCTGCGCGCATCCATCGGCCCTCGCCCCCGCCGCGCCCCCGTGGCGCCAGCGCAGCGGCCCCGATGCGGCGAATCCATCCCGAAATTCGCATCCATCGCGCGAGGTGAATCCATCTCGCCCGGCGCATCCGCCACAGGACGGCCGCCCACCGCAGGGCGCGCATCCACCCGGCCATCCGCATCCATCCCGCGAGGCACACCCGCCTCGGGCTGAGCGCCCCCCGCAAGGCGCGCATCCATCCGGGAGAGCGAATCCATCCGGGAGAACAAACCCATCTGGGAGGCCGCATCCATCCAGGTGGTCGCATCCATCGCGGAGAAGACCCCGCCAACGCTCCAGAGCAAGATCGCCGCAGAACGCCGGAGCACCACGGCGCTCAAACGACAGCCACCACCATCGCCCAAATTCGCAGGCAGGCGCACCGCAGCGCCGCCTGACCCGACTCCAGCAGGAGCTAATTGAGGAGCGCCTCATTCGCCCGGCGACCACCATGCCGGCGCTATACCTTGACTGCGAAAACGCCGCCGAGCAAGACGACGCCATTGTCCAAGCGAAAAGAATTCTTGCCGAGGCAAGCACGGACTCACAGGAACTGGCTCTGGCCGCTGTAGACTTCCCCTACAAACGCCTATCCGTTCTCCCACGCACGTGGGCGGCATATGACAAGCTCATCGACACGCCGGTAGTACGCAACGGCGTTCCGTTTCACTGGTACCAGGCCGATGGCCGTCCCGTCCGGATCATCGCCGGCGGCTGCAGCTATGTCGAGCTTGCACTCATCCGGTGTGCGCTGCGGGAAATCGGCGAGGTCCGCAACCTCGGCTGGTGCACGCACCATGACCTGTCTACCACCGAGCTTACAGCGACCATCATCCTCCCACACGACGCCGAGCTGCCAGAGGAGATCGTCCTCCGCAGCGTCGGTGGGCGGGTCCTCCAGATAGAGGAGATGCGCGCAGATATATCCCCCTATTGCCCAGACTGCCACACGATGAGCACCCGACGGTGCATACACGACAGACGTCGGCCACCTATCCCTCCCCCAGGCTGGGATGTGCCCAGACGTGCTCCCATGTCGTCGGCGTCGCCAGAGCTCGGCGTTGTGCGACCATCGCCCGAGCTACTGCGCTTCCACTCGCCCGAACCAGAGCCTGAACCTGTGCCTGTGCGAAACCGTCCTGTGCAGCAGGCACCCGTACAGCCTCGCTCCCTCCTGCCGTCGCCCGAGGTGATGCGTGCCCCATCGCCCGAGTTGATACGTGCCCCGTCGCCCGAGCCGGTGCGCACTCCGTCGCCCGTGTTGGTACGCGCTCCGTCGCAAGTACCCACTGAGCTAGATGACACATCGTCGCTGCCCTCGCCGGCCCGCATCCTAGCACGGCCGACCGAGCCAGCTCGCGCTCCGTCATCAGTTCATGCTCCGACGTCGCCGACGCGGTCCATCTCCCTGCCGTCGTCGCCGGTAATCAAGCCGGTGGCCGCGCGCAAGGCCACCCCGGTGCGCAGGATCCAGGAGAGCGCTGAAAAGGTAAAAGAGCGCACTCCCCCGACGCGTATGCCGGGTGCGTTCGGCGACTACGGAATGCCGTCGTACTACAACCTGCCCGCGCTGAGCGAAGCGTCAGCCTCCGTCGCCAACCTCGGCGCTGCGTCGGTTTACGTCGACGCGGTAGAGGGCATGAGCAGCCCGGCGCACTTTGTGAACGACAACTCGTCGCTGGATCTCTCGTTTGCCAGCTCCAGCGCGTGGTCGGACGACATGGCGCCATGCCTCGCCGGCCAGCCCCAGCAGCACCTCCTGGACGAACCGGAGGACACGCTGGAGTGGATTCGTGCACAGAATCGCCAGAATTCGGAGACAGCGCGCATCCAGGAAGTGCATCCGCACCTCCGTACAGACAGGTTGGCGAATTTCATACAGCGGCAGAAACAGCAACAGCGCACCCAGGAGCTGCTTGCCAACTTCCGCGCTCGGAACATGGGAAGAGCCACAGCTAGCGCAACTGCTACGACCAACGAGGAGGTTGTGGCCAGCGCCGATGCCGATGCTAACGCCGAGGTGGCCGCCAATGCGGAGGCGGTCGCCAACGCTGCCGCTGCAGCCGACGCTGCGGAAACTGCCAATGCGGAGGCGGTTACCAATGCTGCTGTAGCCGATGCTGAGGAAGCTGCCAATGCGGAGGCAGCGACCAACGCAAGAGCAAATTCGGCAAACGCCAACGTCCTAGACGGCCCTCGCCGCCCGGGACTGCGGCCGCGGAAGCCCTCCGCCCAGCACTAGGCCGTCGCCTGGTGCTGACCTCCTATCGATATCCCGTCAGGCTGCATTGCTAGCGCCGACAAAAACCAAGAAAACCACAAAAAAGGACAAGACACAAAACGACAAAAAATCGCCACTCCTTCCTTCCTCCCCCTTCTGGCCGGAGCGCGGCTCCTAAAAGTCGCAGCACCGGCCGCCAGATCCCTGCACCTTTCCCATGCAGGTGCCGCGCGATCCTTGCGCGGTGGCCCCGGTCCGTCCTGGGTACGGCGGACCGCAACCCCCCCCTCAAACCAGAACATACATGAATTACAAGCCAAGAAGATAACACGATGACAGCGCGCACTCCAGCAGAACACAGACTACAACGCGAGCTTAATCAGCAACAAGATTCTTCTGTCGT